GAGAAATTTTAACAAGCTTATGTTTGGTTCATTGATCAAATGTGAATTTGAAAGAGAGGAGACAAACTTGCTGCTGCTTGGAACTATCCATGTAGTAGCAGAAATAACTGAATCATTTAACAATGATCAACAGACCTAACATCAAACTTTTTCTTGTGGGGGTGTACTGAAAGATCTTGTTTACAGACTCAAACTGAAAACAATTTCTGAATTTAAAAAAAAAAACAACTTCTGATAAATTTTCTGAAATTAATGTAAAAGGGTTGCTGATAGGGTTCAGCAATGTACAAGGGGTGCTTTACTTACATCAGAGATCAATTTTTATGGTGCGACGTAACCTGATTTTCGACATAAGGTTGGATCTCACCTACATAAGCATCCATGAGTCTGCCTTATGTTTGGGAGCCATAATGAAGGGCAAAAAGTTAAAAAACAAAAAAAAAACAAAAAAAACAACACAAATGAGAGATAGCAAATGTAGCACAATCCATATGGCATACAGCTGGTAAAGAAACAACACCATCTTCCTCACACAGCGCCACATGATGACGTATTAGTGAAGATGGTGCTGTGACCACGAAACACTGTACGTCAGATCTGACTTAACTCGAGGAACTTCTGTACTAAACATGAAGGGAAGCATTTTGATCATATTAAATAGTTTGTTAATCATAACAAATCATGTTGTTTTGATGTAACAATATTTAGAAATTTTCTTAAACTACTGTAATTTATTTTTGTTCAGTAAAAGTTAAAAATAAAAAGTGGGCATTACTTTTTGTTGTATCCTTAAAGAGGTTAAAAAACAGACAAGGGTGGTATTCTAGTGAAAGAAACAGCAACGCAGAAAGAAAGAGAGGTTTATTGTAAAATAGAATACACTACTGAAAGACAGGGAATCGGTTAGCAAGCTAGTAATTCCTGAAGCAAGTTGCTAGGTATATCCTGTGCACACACACACACAAACACACACATCTACTGATATAGTCAGTCCACAATAGGGAGAGTGGGACACTTTTACTACACCCTGTATATATAGACAGAGGGTGTGATCTCCCTGCCCCCAACCATAGATATCTAATTCCATCAATAAAAACATTATTTGAGTCCTTTTGTAGAACAAGAGGCATTACATAGAATTTCCAATTTGTCATTAAATTATTCACCTGTAACTAAACATTTATTATACTGCTTTTATCAAAATAAATTTTGCTTCATAAGAAGAAGAAGAAAAAATCACCATAAATGGCACCACTAGACTTTTTCTTGTGCCATGTACTAAAAGATCTTGTTAAATGAACAGCCGAAAATGCTTGGATAAAAAGAACATTCAGACAGTTTTATATAATTTATCATCTGAAAAGAAAATTAATTATTAGATCGCATGAGAAATTGTATAAAAAACTAAATAAACGCACCTTGCCTGTTGTATTCAATGAAATGTGCATGAAAGAAGGTTTGGTTTGTTTTGTTTTACGGCATATCAACCTCAATGGGTCATTTAATGCTGACTTTGTTTTTTGTCTGGTAATATTTTTGTTTTGTCAAAAATCTATTTCTGTTAATATTTTTTTCCTCAAAAATGTATAGCTGGTAACATTATTTTTTCAAAAACGTGTTGCTGGTAATAGTTATTTTTCTTCAAAAACATTACTGGTAATATTTTATAATGCTTTTTACCTCAGTTTCGTGGTTAACTATTTGCCCATAGCTAGGACCTTAACAGGTGCTACCACCCCGGGTCAGGGTGGACCTAGGAACACCAGCAATTAAGAGGTGGTTCCACACTCCTCAAAACCTCCTGATCAGAGGTCTTGCTTTTGGGCATAGTTTATTGTCATACCCAGGACGCGCATGAAAGAAGGATGACTGCCTAAATACACAAAATTAATTAAAATGGTAAATTGTATGGAATTTCCAAGAGGATAAAGATCCAAGGAGAGCTCTATGTCAGAGACAGAGCAAAATTATTAATTAATGAATATGAAACACTTAAAATACCATAGGTAATAATCTTTATTTCATGAAAACTATAAAAATAGCCTTCAATCTTTCAGACCTAAAGATTGAAGGCTATTTTTATAGCTTTCATGAAATAAAGATGGTATTTTGTATGGTATTTTAAGTGTTTCATATTTATTAATTAATATATATATATATATATATATATATATATATATATATATATATATATATATATATATATATATATATTGTCATCTACAGACAGACTGTTTCTCTGTATCACAACTCATCAGTATGGCTAGACATCCGATTGCTTCAAGCTGGGATTAAAACCCTACTAATTCAGCAACAGTCGGAAATTTTCCCCCAAGCCATCAGTGCAGAGTTGAAAGAAAAGTGAATAAACACGCCAATGACTGGGAGAGCTCAATTCAGGTAGGGGTTAGAGCCTTGTAATAATACACACACACGCACACACACGCACACACACACACGCACGTCTCCTCAAAAAAAAAAATAAAAAAAATGTACTCACTTTTTAATTTTCCGAAAACTTGAAATTTTCTTTTTTCAGGTTCGTGCATTTAATTTTGTTTAATATTTAATTTAAGTCAATAAACATTAATATTTCTTAATTTTAACCATTAATCTTGTTTGCAAGTCAATAAACATTGTATTAATTGTCATTTAAAGAGTCAGTACATTTTTTGGGGCCACCCTGTATATATTGAAGACCAATTTTATACTTTTTGTATTTCAATTTGTACTTAATTTGTTTTTTTTATTATTTGTCTATTTTGTGTTTTCTGGAAAGAATTTGAATACAAATAATCCTCACAAGGACTTTAGGCTTTCATAAACCATTATCAGATAGCTTTATTTCTGTGTTGAGAGGGTTGTGACTAGAAAATATAGATTAAAAATTACTGAAGAAAACCTTTGTTGGTTTTCAACCAAATCTGCAATAATGAAAAATTGCTTTAGAAATGCACAATATAGGAGAGGAAGTGAAGCACACAAAAAAAATTGGAAAAAACAAAGAAGCTTTTTATTTACATGTTGGTTTCATATTACAATGTAAGTCTTCGGTCTATGTCTGAAGACCACATTTCAAATATCTTTTGTATTAAAATATATTTTATTTGATAGACATATACATATGTAAGAAGATATAAAATCAAATACAAAATGTTAAAATTATGCATTATAAAAAGAAAATCAAATAACAATGATTTATATTTCCTATTTAGGTTTATTAATAACAATTCATGTAGAGAAATAAAAATTATTTGTCCTAAAAATGGGAGATGTTCACTCATAAATAGGCAGGGCATGTTGTTGTTATTCAACATACATACTCCTGCTGCATGATTCACATGTGCATATTGTGTATTGCATCTAATGCAAATGCATCATCTTATCATTTTTATTTCTCTAAATAACAGTAGGCTGTGTGGGTAGTGTAATGGATATCATTATGGATAATTAAAATTATCTCTAACAAAAATCATAGATGTCATTATGTAATGAATTGAATATTCACTGTAGCCATCTGTTACTTGTACCATAAGCAAAAATAACAAAGCTAGTACAAAAGATGTACTTATGCTTGTTTTTTTATAGTTTAATAAATTTAATTTTATTTACCTAAGGAAATTATAAGTAGACTTATAGAGCAATTTCTAAAATTATCTCTAACAAAAATCATAGATGTAATGATTAACAAAGTAGCAGTGTTTAGATTAGCAATTTTCTTTTTTTTTTTTTTTCATAAAAAGCTATATTGTTTTATATTGACATTTCCAATATGGCAGTGTTAATGTAATAAAGCTGATCCTGAAATGTCCACTCAAGTTATTATTAATCAATTTATTTACCACCATCTTCCAGTCCTTATCTTACTGCTATCAAATTCCATATCTTCCAAAATTTCTTCCATGTCATCCATCATCTCACCTGGTGCACATATGTAAATATAGCAGTTGCCTCGATCAAGTTTTTGTAAAGCTTCTTTGATATCCTCACTATTTATTCGCCGATCTAAGAAAATAAAAATAAAGGCATTTATGAACAGGGAACAGAATTTTAAATATGTTACTTAACCTGCAATCATTGTAACATGAAGCCATACAATCATCTGGGGTTCTTCGGGTTAAAGTTTTGGATAAATTCCTATAGTACCTGTTCAAATTTCAATTACAATGATAACTATAGCTCACTATTTACATTATTCAGACTATTGACCTCATCTTTGTCGCTATATTTATTACAATGTTTTAGCTGTTGTATGCTCCGGCCTTCTTTCTTGAAGGCCGGAGTGTACAATGGCCAAAATGTTGTAATAAATATGGCGACAAAAATGAGGACAATAGTCCAAATAATGTAAATAGTGTACATGAATATACACAGATAACTATAGCTGTCACAAGTATTTTGTAAGTATAGTGAATTTAGAATAGATTCCACATTGTCAACGTTGTATAGCAGCATCTTTGTTGAGATTTTGAATTGTATTAAGCAGGTAGAAAAAATACTGGCTGAATCAACCCAGTAATGGTAACATATGTAACACAAGTCATTCCATAATTTATTAATGTGGGATACTATTTGTTATATTGTTAGTATTCCTATTTTTCTAGTTTTAGGGATTAAATTAGCTCTTGATTAGCATGCTTATCTTTTAGACCACTTGAGTGTAGTAGATTCAATCTTTACTAGATGCTCTGCAACTGTGATATTGTGCCATACTTAGATAAAATTAGTAAGTAATTGTAGCTATTAAGACTACAATATTAACATTAAATGTTCAACAATTGACTTGATAAGGTACTTTGTAAGACACATTTGGTTCAAAAGTAGTCTCACAGGACCATCATTTTTTTGGCGGTGATCACATCAGTTTTTTTTATTTTATTTTTTATCAAATTCATCTGATGTAAGCCACCATAGGTTACTGAGTGTGATAGAATTAGAAAACAAGCATTATTGAGGAGCAAGAACAATAAGAAAAACAGTAGATAATGATTAATATTGCATTTAAATTTTTGAAGATCAAATTTGTCTGGAAACCAAGAAGCCAGAAAAGAGTTCCACAAGTGAGAAGTGCAAGAAAAGAAACTGTTGGCGTAGAACTTATGGTTACCTCTAGTCAATTCAATGGGACTTTGTTGCTAATTTAGTACTGCTCTTAAATTCATAGTCTTGGTATCATAGCAAAAAGCTTATCTTAACAATTACCACAAAAGTATTTATAGAAAAGGCAGTGGTGGTGGTGGTGGTGGGGGGGGAAAAACTTTACAGCGATGAGAAAGTGTCTGAAGCCGAGATGTCAAGTCAGGACCAATAATATTGTTGATTCTTCTCTGGATTTTATATGGTAGATTTACAAATATATAAGATAGATTCTGGAGATAAAAATTGTCTAGCATGGCATAGTGAACCAACTTAACAACAGATCTAGCAATGGATTCAATATAGGCTTTCCACTTCATGTCAGCAAAGAACATTAACTTGAAAAAGCACAACAAGTCACTCTCCTGGAGGTTAGCATCAGTCATGCTGATGGAAGGGAGAAAGGAGTCTTTCAGATGATTAATAGAGAGCAGTTTTGTTTTAGAGGTGTTAAAATTTAACAAGCCATCCTTTACTCCAGTTAACAACAGATTGTAGGTCTTTTTTGAAATCAGCTGACAAATTGACCTTATCGATCTGATCAGACTTACTATCAAGACAGGAACAAATGGTTGTGTCATCAGCAAAGATACCAAGTTGAGAGCTGATGCCACCAGGAAGGTCACTGATGAAAATTAAAAACAAAGTAGGATTAAGGATAGAGCCTTGGGGGGACACGAAAGGATCTTGAAGAGTGGCCATTCAGGACAACTTTCATTTCACGATTAGATAAGAAACTGAATCGGTTCAAAAATTTGTCTAGAGGCACCATAACTTTTAATGAATTCTTTATTCAACTGAGGAACAATGTTACTGCCACATCTCGTCAGGTGCTTCTTCTATATATTTAAAGATTCTTAACAAAATCCAAAGAAGAATCAGCAACATTATTGGTCCTGACCTGGCATCTTAGTTTCAGTTATTTTCCCACTGTCATAATATAGCCTCCTCGTGCCTTTCCTATAAATATTTTCTTGGTAATTTTTCTGATGAGTTTTTCATCTTTGATACCTAGACTATGAATTTAACTACAGTACTAGGTTGTAAGTTAGGTCTCATCATTTTATTGTTAAAATTGCTAGGTGTTGATGTAACCATAAGTTCTATGCTAATAGTTTCTTCTTCTATGATTTTTGCTTGTAAAACTCTGTTTCATCTCCCTGCTTTCCTATTAACTATAATCTTTAAAAATTTAAATGCTATGTCAATCATCATCTTCTGTTTTCTCATTCCTTTTATTAAAGTAAGAACTCAACAACTGAAATGTCTATGTAATGCATTTTGGCAGTCCTATCAGAAAATACAACACATAAAAAAGAGAAGGTTTTATTACATTTGGTACTGTATCAAACCTATTGCAGTTAGTAACATATCTGATTATTTTTTTTAACTTTCCTTTTATTATACTAATTCCCACACTTGTTATGTTTAAATGATCAGTTCTTTTAAGCCATATAATACTTTTGGGATGATCAGTGGTTCCAAGAGATTGAAAAATTTATCAAATCAAAAGCAGAATCATTCATTTATAACAGAATACATATTTTGCCTGAAATCTGGTGTTAAAATCATAGAAAACCTGTCAAGATATTTTGATCACAAAATAATATGAATTTATTACTATAATTATGATCTGATTTTTGTGTGTTCCCATAACAGCAAAAACAGCACATTATAAATGCAATTTTTGTTAGTGCAATACTTTAAAGTTTGAAAATAAAACAATGTCTATTCCAATCAGACTACTGGTTTTTTACTCATTTTTAATAAAGTACAAATTCATTAAAAAGATACAGTCACAAATTTTCATTGAAAAAGGTTAAAGATACAGAGACACTCACTGTTAAATTTAAATCTTTGATCTGCAGTCTATCTATTTAATTCAGCCAGTCTATTTCTATCACTTTTGTTTTTTATTTTTATCATTATTGTTTTTAATTGTCCCATATCACAGTAGATTTGTGAGGAAGGTATGTTATATGATGCTGGATGTAAATTTACCTTAAGGAATTCCAAAATTAGTACACTTTCAATAACTTATACAATAAATTATCTTTTAATTAAAATTGCATTCTTTTAGTCAAAATTATGTCCATATCTATTAGAATGAATAATGCATTGAGTGTGTAGAGGACAGTGTGTGTATTTACGTGTTGTTGTATTAGAGACACATGTGTAACTTCTGGTAGAATATTAAAAGTCTCTACTACATGAAAATTGGCAAACATAATTTGTCCAACCGATGAAAGATAAAAAGACATAAATATATACATATATATATATATATATATATATATATATATCAACAAATATGTATTAAACAAATTACAAGGCACATAGACATAACATTTGTGTGTGTGGAAACATTGTGTTTGTTCTTTGGTGAATGTTTGTATTGTTCATAGCATTTTCCCAGAAATGGGAAACGCTGATTTTCTAAGAGCTTACATCTTGTCGCTGAAATGAAGAAGGAAGAGAGATTTACCTCACCACCACGCAAGGTGGGATGCAAGGAAAAAAAGAGAAAGAGGCAAGAAGTTTCCCAGTATTTATAGTATGAGGAAAGAGACCCCTGGTGAAGAACTAAGGAGGAGGTAATTCCTACAAGTGTATTGTTTTGTAAAAGATCCCTTTTGTGTTCATATAATCATTCATCAATGGATGGGGATATTATTTTCAGTCTTTTTATTAATTTCCTGCTTCAAGTTTAATGTTGATATTATTTTGTTTTGTTAATTAAATCTTTTATTGTTTAGTATAAGCATGTATACTTGTTTAAATGCATGTAACAATAAAATGGAAGACAATATTCAATTGTGTAATACTTACTAATAATGTTCTTATCATTTGGTTTTTCCTTTGTGACAAAAAACTTGCAACTAATGTTTTCATTTTCATTCTCAAGTTTTTCCAGATTATCCTAAAAAAAGAATAAAATAAAATAGAAAGATAAAATATAGAAAGATAAAAATATAGAAAGATAAAAATATAGAAAGATAAAAATTGCCTTTGAAATAATTCAATAAAATCTTCAGAATCTTTGGTACAACAGTAGGGTTTCCTTTTTAAGTTATCTCAGAAATTATGCATATTTAATTCCCATATGCATTAAGAAAACATTGAGCTAAACTTTTATTGCTTTAATGACCTAATACACTATGAAATAAAGTGAATGATAATGTCTCTTGGCTAATGTTTTTGTGCTGTAGAATGGAAGTCAATATTCATAGATTGAAGAAGCAGAGATATTGAAATTAACTGTTCGAAGAAACATATGGTTATAATTCCTTTTAAGCAGACAGCTTTTCAATTAACTCTCATTAAAGAGGACTGTTGATAAATTTTATGTTAAACCAAAACAGAATTACCATTAAAAGAAAATGAAAGAGGAAGAACAGTTTAAAAGTAGACTTTGTCTTTTATCTCACAGAAAAAGAAGAAAAAATAATTTGGTTTACTATCTATGTAATAACAAAGAGAGTAAGATTAGGCTTAAGGAAACTTTATTCTGTTTAGAATAAATGATGTCAGCAATAAATAACAGAACTGTCTAACAAACAGAATTAACAAAAATTGCAATAAAAAGAAAAAAAAAAGAAAGCAAAAGGTAACATCAAGCAAGTAAGCAAATTAAAAATATGCAAGACAAATTAACAGCAATAGGGAAAAAATTCAAAAACTAAGAATTGGTATCAGCAAACAAAAGCAAGTTTGGACTAGCAAATATAGCCTTCTGACTTCAAGGCAAGGTAGATCAGGACTGAATCATGTCAAACTGCAAACCAGCTTATTTTAATGGCTAAAAAAAATCCCAGCATGCATTTGGGTGTTTTTTTTTCCTATAAAAGAGTAGAAGCAAGTGTTTTGCAGTCATTCCTATTATGGATTAAAATTAATATCTTCTTGTCCCTTGTAGCTCTTAATAAGTTTTGTCTTTTTGTTATTTCTCCCAAACACTGTTCAAATTCATCAAGTATGTTATGCACTGCTTCCCTCTGTCCCTCAATCTGTCCTGTGAGTATCAGTTTTTCCAAGCCCTACTTCCTCATTATGTGCCCCAGAAATTTCATCTTTTCCTGATTTATCTATCTATATTTCTGAAGTTAAGTATAAGTTTCCTTTTTCTCCAAAACCTCATTGTTGCTCACATTTTCAGTCCATGGTATCCTCAGCATCCTTCTGTAGGAGCACATTTCTGTTGCGTCTATCTTTGAGGAGATTGTCTAGCATTTGCTACCATACAGGGGGACAGATATTATGTAACAGTTCAATACTCTTTTCTTTGTTTCTGACAATTTCTTTCTGTCTCTTAATACTCTGCTTAGCTTTTGGAATGCATCTTTGGCCATCCCAATACACCTTCATATCTCAGTGTTGCACTTTCTGTCTTCTGTTAGAACTCTTCCCAGATATTTCAATTTTTGTACTTGTTTGATTTTAGTATTCCCAATTTGTAATTTGCATTTTGGGCTTATTTTTTTGCTGATGACCATGCATTTTGTCTTGTAGTTTATGCTTAGTCCTTTCTTCTCACTTTCCTTCATTACCTTCTGTAGAAGCTTTTGTAAATTCCTTTTTGTGTCTGCTATCGACATTGTGTCACCTGCATACCTTATGTTGTTAAGATTGTGGCCACCAATAAGGAATCCTAGAAGGACTTCTAATTTTCTCAGAATTACCTTGCTGTAGAGGTTGAATAAATCTAGTGAGAAGACACATCCTTTTTGTATATCTACTGAACTCATTTGGTTTGCTGCCAGTATATTTATTTGATGATAGTTGGTCAAAAAGCTAACCTCTGATTCTTCAAGCTATACTTGAGTTTTGTACCATTAAGAAAAAGTCAATAATTAGCAGATGTATCAACATATCGATGTGTGTTGTGGTGTAATGGATGTTGTCGTAGAGTGAAAACTCGGAGAACTGAGTTCAAATTCCAGTCGAATTTGTTAGATTCACTTACACACAAATAACCTTGGGAAAGGTATGAAACCATTTCTTCTCCCCAGCTATAGGTTGAATAGCAGGACAGACTGGGTTCTTTAGCCTTGGTTGGAAACCAGTCTATCACAGAAAGAAATGGCAACCTACTGCCTCGTCAGTCATGTATTGAAAGATACATGATCACCCAAGTGTGTATCATGTATGGTAATTAATTGACTGATCAACGTATTAGTTTAATGCAAATGTTTTCAGTATTTTTCCATAAATCTTTCATTTACATAAATTCATAGCATCACTGTACAGTAATAAAATTATTTTCCTAGACTTTTTATGTCTTTGTGCTATCAAAGAAGCATTAGTTTGATGAAAAAATCTTTCAGCATTTTTTTCTCATAAATTCTTTATTGATATTAAATTGATAGCACCATTATTCAGTCATAAAATTATTTTGCATCTTAATTAATATATTCTGACGTTATTGGAATTAATACAGGTTTTTCTCAACTCTCTGAAGGTTTGTTACTTTCATAAGTTCAAATGACACTACAAAAGAGCAATTAAAATTTATTCATGTGGGAAAAGTTTTAAGCATTCCCAGCCCCCAAAAATAACTTTTCATGAGATTTTTGCTTGAACTGAGTGCTACAATGATTGCAGAAAAGCAGGACTTGCATTTTGCAAGGGGTACACAGGTTCAGGACAGACTTGCAAGATACTTTCAGTAACTACAAAGAACTGCATAACAGATAAATTCATGACAGTCTCATTTAAAGCCTTCCTCAGAAGACAATAAAACTGAACTCACTGCATCAAGGCAAAGTAGACATCATTTTTCTTTTAAGTCTCATCCCTTCAGGACATGGCTAATTACGGCTCACAACACCCTTCCTATTTGTGGCTCTAAGCAATGTTTGTCTACCTATTATTTCAGTCCTTGTTCTGCCATCCATTTACACAATATCCTTAGGCAGGTTACTCACTGTTTACCTCTTGTCTTCAGTATATCCTCTGAGTGCCAAATTCTCCAGGTATTCTTTCCTCATTATGTTTCAGAAATTTCAACTGTCTCTTTCTGATTCTGTGTACAGGTGTACTTTTTGTTTGCATTGTCCTTAAAACTTCCTTGTTACACACATGCTATGGTGGTCTCAACACCCTTCTATAGAACCACATCTCTGTTGCCTCAAGTCACCTCTTCATCTGTGAGGAAACTGTCCAGTCATATAGGTGGATTGATATTACATGGCAGTTCAGCACTGTTTTATTTGTTTCTAATGAAATTTTCTTGTTTCCTAATACATTGTTTAGCTTATGGAAAGCATTTATCACTATTCCAATGTACCATCAGATTTCTGTGTCATTTTCCATTGTCTGTTAAATTTCTGTACTTTTTTCATTTTCAAATCTGTGTAAATTAAAAGTAACTTCTTTTTCAAACTTATATTACTGTTTGTTTTTGTCAAAGTCAAGTGGCGTAAAGAAAAATTTCAAGATTTGGATTTCTTTTTTTTTATTGATTGATTTGTTTTCTATAACTTAACTCTTTGCAGGTTATTTAAAGCCAGAAAATATTTTTTAGTCTGTAAGAATTGTTTGGAAGATATAATGATTTAGTGATACAAGTCTTACTAATTAACCCATAGCTGGGGGGGGGATAACAGGTGGATTCATACCTTTTTCCAAGGGTATTTGCATGTAAGTTAATATAACAAACTCAACCACACATCCAAGCTTACAACTCCTGGAGTTCCCAAGTGGTCACCCATCAAGGAAGTGATCAATGTTGCTTAACTTCAGTGATCATATGAGAACTGGTGTTTCAATATCAATATGGATGTAAGTTCAAGAGTTGGAATGATTTCTGTTTCCTATAATATTTTTACTTTTTTACCCATAAATGAAATTAGCAAAATGGAAATTAACTTTATTCACATTTATAATAAGATAAAACCAATATGAACTCCATTTTAAACTAGAAAAGATTATTTTAAAAACCTTTCATATAATGTAACTTTTTCAGTGAATTACATTATGACCTCATTTAATACTATATATATATATATATATATATATATATATATATATATATATATATATATATTATATATATATCAAGAACATATATATTTTTATATATCAAGAACAGTATAAGGAAAATTTATGACAAAATGAAAATGTTTACTTGTGACGTGTTTTGATGAAGTCTGAAGGACGAAACGCATCACAATGAAACTTTTTCCACTTTGTCATTATATATATATATATATATATATATATATATATATATATATATATATATATATATAGCAAAATGCTGAAACTAAATATATAAGAACTGAACTGATTAATAGTAAATTTAGTGTTCAACTTTATTCAGCTGTCAGTGATTAAACAAATAATTTCTCAATGTGATTTGAAGTCGTACTGCTTTTGCCTTAAAGTAGCTGGTTGAATATACCTCCAACTAACTAACATACAGGAACTCAAATCTAACCTATAAACCCACTATTCATTCCATGATATTTCTCAGTGCAATATTCTCTTTTAAAGTTGAGTGGTATTAAAAAAAAAAAAAGTTGTGATAAAAAGCACTTAAAAAATAAAGATGAAAGTAAATACAGATAAAAGATTTCTAATGTTTGAGATTGGTTCATTTAATAAAAAAAAGAATTACAAAAATACTAACTTCTCATACTTTAGTTGATTGAAGATGAGGTGTAAAAAAAGGGATGCAAATTCAAATCTTATTGAGGAGGACTTAGACCTTATTTCTAATATGTATTGTCTACTCACTAACATAGATTATTAGTGGTTTGGAAAAAATACAAGAATTAATCACAGAATAGATCTAATAAAATGTGCTGCAAAGTTCTCAGCCCAGCTAAGGGAACCTTCCAGAAAGATATTTGGCAATGCTTAATTGACAGCAAAGATATTAAACATTATTTATTCATAATTTCTAAAATGGTAAATAATAAATATTGCATTGTAGTTGGTTTGCATATTTTTATAATCTTGTAAATAAACATTGCTAAAAAGGTAAAAGTTTATACAGTAATAGCAGTGTCAAAGGAATAACTTTTTAAAAGATAAATATTAAATATTGCCAATTTTTTTATATTTAGTTATTTCAGATCTTGGGAAGTGGTTGAGGTGCTTGTATATCTAATGCAAATGCATTGATAATTATTATATTATAGGAAAGCACTGCAAGCAATTACAAATGAAAAAGGGATTGTCAGTGGTCAGCAATTAATACAAAGGTTACTCACAAAATAGGGCTATTATATGTATAACAATTAATTATTTTATACAGTACCTTAAATTGGATATCATTCACTGTGCGGACAGAATAAAGAAGCTGTACATTTCCTGGTTGGTAGCATCTGGAATTGTTTTCTTTGTTCATGACATTGTAGTCAGCAATTAAATTCATTATGCAGAAGAGAGGATTGACACCAATGCCTCCACCAATCAAAAGAAGGTCATGTGTTGGGTCATCTACTGTGGGGTTGTAATGGAAGTCACCACCAAAAGAAATTGTAATTTGGTGTCCAACCTTACACTGAAAAAAAATTGTTCAAGTTGGTTATGAAACAAAAAAGTGAGGGTAAGAAAATAAGATTGAGATAACCTACTGCTCATTATAAGTTGGTTTTGACATAATTACCATCCTTAGTAATTTTGACATAATTACATCGCTTAGTGAATTGTAATATTACATTTTTAAAAAATCTAAAGTTCATCCAATACAAGGATCAAGTGTAATTCAAGAGAATCCTTGAGTGATTCTTGAGCCTTGTATTGATAATTATGAACAAGGTGTGATATGTTTAAAAGAGGAGATGGTTTGAAGTGAAAATTATGAGAACAGATAAATATTGATCCTTGACTTGAAGTGTTTAAGACTGTAGTGTTCAGGGAAGCCTCCATGTAAGAGTGTGTTCCATAAAGTGGCATTGAAAAAGCTGTTTTTTTTTAAATCATTTAATTCCAAGCAGGATGGAAATATCAATAGTACACAGAGGGTTATAGGGAGTAAAAGTGAAAGAAAATGCTGAGTATAGGGAGGATTGAGGAAAGTAGAAAAGATGAATGGGATTCAAAAAGATAGAAGATGATGATTGAAGTTGCATTTAAATTTTTTTTAAGATTGTAGTTACTAGGGAATCAAGTAAATGAAATGGAGTTCCACAGGTGGAAGTGTGAGAAAAGGAACATTTAGCTATTTTAACAGTGAACAGATGGAACCTAGATTCCAATCTAGTAGGATGCTTAAATTCATGTAGTTGAGGCACCAGGGAAGTGGAATTTTCTTCTTACATTTGAAATACAGGGAAAATGAGGTTGATTCAATTCTGTGGAAGTAGCTTGGCATGTCCTACCTGTAAATATCTCATCTGGTAGAAGTAAAGAATGGAGCTCCTCTGAACATTGCAATAAAAATGTAAATATTAAAAGAGGAAATATGCAAATGATAATTATTCAAAATACGAATATTATTAATAAAACAAAATAATTTAGTAAGAAAAAATCCTTAAGTTATATGATACTGCACACAAATAGTCAACTACTGAAGATTACTTGTTAAAGGATGCCACTAATTTTTTAAGTTTTCCATTTACACTGTGGTATTTGTTGACGTTCTTGATATTTTAGCAACCTGCTCTCACTTTTGCAATCTGAAATTCTTGTCCTGTTCTCTTTTAAGAGTGTCTAAAAATTTCAATACTGTGGGATGATGAGATGACACTTGCTACAAAAAAGCCCTACGTCATCTTTCAAGGGTGTTATTAGTTTTAGGTAAATCAGCATTGACACTCTCAAAGTAAGACCACATACGTATTTCAAACATAGGTATTTTGAATAATTATCATTTAGTATGATTGGCCTTTTGATTAATTTTCATTCAAACAATTTACAATTTGAATAAATGTTTTTTGAACAATTATTTTTGAACAATTTTCTTGATACAGTTTGGAAGTCATTATTAGTTGTGCTAGCATGAAGTCATTGATTTATTGTACCTTCTTGGTCAATGAGACCAAGAAGGTACATTGAGTCAAGATGTGGAGTGATCTTATTAAACAAATTGCTAGGTTTGCTGCTAGAAATGTTGGTTCATTGTGTCATCTTACACATTTATAAATCTACCACTCATGCATGCATTGAATATTATTACCATATCTGGATTTGGTGCTCTTGAGATTCTTGACAAAATTCAAAGAAGGGTCTGCAATGTAATTGGTCCTGATCTGGCATCTAAACTTCAGTCACTTTCCCACTGCAATGATGTGGCTTCACTGTGACTTCTCTAAAAATATTTTACTAACAATTACTTTAATAAGCTTTTTTTGTTAGTACCTTGATCACATAAATTTAACTGTACTACTAGATTGGCAAATAGGTCTCTTGATTTCTTGCTTTCCTGTCACCTACAATTTTCAAAGATTTAAATATAATGTCAATCACCATCTCCTGTCTTGCTGAAAAGTGAACTTTAAGAACTTCAGATAACTTAAAATGATAAAGCACTAAATAATTATTCAATTTTTTTTATCCCAAATTCTTTTGAGCAACTTTCTGCACATACAATCTACATATTTGTATCTAAAGTAATGTACTTATTGATGGAGATAGATATATATATATATATATATATATATATATATATATATATATATATATATATATATATATATATAGAGGAAGGAGGCGATATAGCTGTGAACATTGGTTATAATTATGTACCAAGGAGAAGCACTGAAGATGTCAGAATGTTAAATTAAAATTATATCAGTGTTTCTCAATGTATTTAAGCAATGGCACACCTAGAAGCAAATCAAAATATCACAGCATACAATTTTTAATGGTTATACATTTAAATGAAGTAAAACTACAGATTTAAAAAAATAAACACATAAATATGAATTTATTTTATTTCAATGTTTCTATTCAATGATTTGTGCAGCTTATTTAGTGTGAAACCTATGCTTGGTGTTTTTTTCATGATTTTTTCAATGTTTGGTCAAAGGTGTGTTAAAACAGACCCTATTTACATAAATAAGTAGAAAACAGTAATAAAACTGATGAAGCCTTTTTAGCTAATGTGGGATATTTTTTTTGTATTGAAATTCAAAATGTATCAATATTGTACAGTACACTAGTATGATGTATGGCACTGTGATTTACAATCCTGTTTGGTCTTTGGATTTAAATTATTGTATGCCTCTTTCAGGTTACAGAGTACAAGATACATTTATTCCTGAACTCTATCATTCTTTAAGACTGTCATATAGTCATTTTTTCCAGGCATCACTCTGATGACATCTTCACTCTTATAAAACAGCACAACTTTGTCAATTGTCTCTACATTTTTGTATATTTGGTAAAGGTAATATTCCTTGTTCATTCACAAGTTTTTGGTATGTCTTGCCATGTATGTTGTGGTGCCAAACTCTATTTGAATTCGTTGAATACTCCAACTTTTTGAAAGTATTATCACAATTTGTACTTTTTGGGACTTCTTTTCACAAGTTGAAGACTTTGTGTAATAATTTTACTTTCATCAGATCTTTTGTGCTCTTCAACACTGGTAGATTCTTGATGAGAAATTTTAGTCAAAATCAGTTTAATTTTCTTTTTCATACTGCTTCGTTAATTTTTGCTATTTATTTTTTATTCCTTATAGCTGGTTTGTTTTTTCAAGTTTTTTATGCTCAATTGGTGATTGGTCAATCATTTACAGTGACTCATTAAGAAGTTGCAATTCATTTTCAGTATCTACAATAATGCTCAAAGGCTGTGACTGGTCTCCAGCTGATGTTGATGTACTTTCAGAAAACCCAGATAATGCTGTTAATTTTATTTGGCAACAGGTTTGCTTGTTAATCTATATGTAAAATGTTAAGAATCTTTTTTAAATATTCATTTTTTTCAGATCAAAACCTAAATTTTTTAAATATATATAAAAAACCCTGAAAATTTGAATATTTTCTGCATTTAGTGTACCATGTCAACTTGTTAACCATTAACAACATTTGTTGCATATTTTCATATTATTTTATGTTATCTTAACATTAATTCATGACACTTTTTTAAATAATTATTTTTATTATGTCACTTTTTCATATAAAAATCTATTTGTTGTATAATAAAATGTAAACAAATCCAAAAATAATGTTGTTTATTTTCTACCAAATTGGTCAACATTTAACCACAAATAGCACAAATTCTGTTGATTTTATGATCATAGTTCTATGTGAATATTAATCAGCATTCAAAGACCTTTTTAAAGATATGCAACTTCGCCATATTGAGAGATATGAAAATGTTAGCATATAGTGGCAAATATCAAAATCTGCCATTTTGGCTTAACTCAGTAAAACACTTCTTATTCAGGCCACAGTCAAAAGTTCACCATAAAATTTTGTACATATCTTACCGCAAAGAAGACAAATTTGTTGTCATATTTGAAAAAAAGAATTAAAGATACATTTTTTTGAGAAATTAAAAGTCAAAGTCAAATTATCTTATTTGACCTTTAAACAAAATAATAAATAGATCACCTTCTAGATCCATCCAAGTACTTTAAAATGGTATATAATTTAGCATTGTAAATGAAAAAACAACTCAGATATTGATATTTAAACTTATGTGAACAACAAGAAGGTTTTGGAGAGGAAGCAAACAAACAAAAAACTTATACTTAACATTAGGAAGTGGCAGCTGAAATTTCTGGGACATGTAATAAGAAAGGAGGACTTGGAAAATCTGATACTCATAGGGCAGACAGAGGGAAAAAAGGACAAGGGAAAGCAGTGTGTGACATACTTGGCAGGTTTAAGCAAGTAAATGGCAGAACAGGGTCTGGGAGAAATAACAAAAAGACAAAGTTTATTGAGAACTACAAGGGACAGGAGAAAGTGGAAGACCATGATCGCGTACATCCTGAAGGGACACAGCACATAAAAAAGAAGACTATTTTCCAAAATTTACCTTTTTAACAAAGGTCAAAGGGTCATATCTCAGGATATATCTAGAGATCTAAAATAGATAGCATTCAATTTCTATTATGTTGATAAGTATACCAAATTTGAAAAAAAAAATCTGTGTTGGTGATGGTCAGACCTTTGTTGATTTGACATGGAATGACTATATTGAAAATAGTATTAGAAAAAATTATTTATCTTGTAAGGAATACTAACAGATAGAATAAGTTATTAGAATGATGATAATATAAGGAAATATTTGGAATTCATTTACTGAGCAGTACTACTGTCGGTTGAAATTTATAAAATCATTCTCTTAAAACAATTTTTCAGAAAAATAGGTTTCTTAAGTCCAGTAGCTGTTATTGTTCTTTCCAGTACTGATAGGAGTTTCCTTCCTAACCTTTTATTTGATGCAGTGTGGAACATCAACATCTTGATTATGTCATTATTTTCTCTTTGCATTTCATGCGATATCCATTTAGTTGTTGTTGCTGTTGATAGTCCTCAAATGATATGGTTTCTGTTATTTGGTACAGTTCTTTTTTTTGTGATTCTGTAGCACCAATTCACAATGTTTGAAGAAGCATGTTCTTCACCAAGATCCACTGGCTTCACTTGCTCAAGGTAATTTTTGACCATTGAGCTGAGAAAGCATTTCGTGATGTGCAGTGGCCGTTAATGATTAAGTATAACTCAAGACTTCAATGTTAAAATAAAATAGTATTTAATTACAACCGCAAATAAAAACTTAACAAGAACAAAGAAGTAAAAGTCAACCAAAGATAATTAACTATTTCAGTGAATACCTTGTTAGTAGTTCGGCTTGGCTTAACATCTGGTAAATCCTAATTTAAAACCCAAATCATTGATGCACAATAATTCACACTAATTCGACTGGATAATTCCTCTCAATAGTCACTCAATAATCACTTAATAATTACTTCAGTCAGTATTCTGATAACACTATTTATATAACTGGTGGAAAACATATATTCATAAGTCCAGAGTGTCACGCTCAAACTTCGGTGTTGATAGTTACTCATTTTTTTCCTATATGGAAGGTGACAGTTTAAATATTTCTAAATGGGTTGAGTATTATATGTATAGCAACCATATGAAATCTGATGAGGCAATTTAAGAACATGACTCTAATTTTTAGGTTTATGTTTTGGTTCTTTAGGTGTTGGTTAAAACTACCTCTAGAACAGCCTAGAAAAGGACACAAAAAAGAAGTCTAAGAAATTACAAAAAAATGAAATAAAAATATTTTTAAATTAAAGAGGGAATCTTTACATATTTTTTAGAATTAATCACAGAAAAAAAAGGCAGAGTGAAAATGTTAAAACTTACATTTGTATGTACCCAGGCTGTTGGTTTATGATCACTATATTTAACAGCCAGTTGAATATTCCCAGTTTTTTTGAATTTCAAAGGACTTGTGCACATTGTAAAGCTTCCCATGCGTTTCAGTTCTGGAATTTTAAATTCCAACCTAAAATAAAACACAAAACTAATAAACACAACACTGAAAGTAAACCGTTTTTCAGTATAAATGATTTATATATGAAAATGGCAACATGCTGTCTGCTGCAGTGGATTGGGTATGAATTCAATCTTGTGCTCCAAATGCAACACCTGAATGCACAAGAAGTACAGTGGCATTGCTGGTAGGCTAAAAGAACTACCAGATTATATCAGTCCTAGATGCCGTGGTGAGGTACACCCTATGGATGGCAGACTCACTACCCAAGTCATTTTGGATGGTTCAAAAATGGATATTGATCTTTGTTTCTGTTATCTTGGGGATAGGGGCAGTGAGACTTGGGTACCAAGTGTGTCAGTCTTGTAGTGGCTCTGTCACAACTACTTATCGATGATTCGCTGGATCTGCAGCACCAAGCCTCAGCATGAAACACCCTCATCCGAGCTGTTAACAAGGCTTTGGTATTGAGGACATATCAGTACTGTGCACACATTGTCTTAGATGGATTGGTCACATCCAACGAGCTTTGTCATGCATCAAGACTGACTCGGAGTTCAGGGTTTCTGGTCACAGAGGTTGAGGTAGACCTAGGAAGATGTGGAAGGACTGCATTGAGAGGAATTTTACAGGAGTACAGGGATGCTTGGAAAGAAGAAACAAGAGCTAGCCATCTGCTGCCTCCTCCAGTCAATGGGAAACCCACAGCAGTATAATCAAAGCTCTGGATCTTGACTTTACTAGATATATGAATTATCACCCGAAAAATCAAAGTTATATTTTACAGCTTTAAAAATTGCATAGAACTGAGTATTTTATTTATTTTGATAATAAAGAAAAACAAATTATTATTTATACTATCATCTGAGATGAACCAACTTCCATTATTTAATGAAAATGCCAACATGTTCACACTTACTGGATGAGTTGTTAATCTGAGACAAACCTGAAAAAAGCTGAATATCATATAAAACACAATTGTATTATTAAAAAAACAAAAATGATAAGGATAATAGATCAAGTGATTAATTGAATAATAGCATATTTATGTTTTATACAGCAAGGTTATATTATAGATTATAATTTAATTAAAAATAGAATGTGGATGAGTTTATAGACGAGTCAAAATGCAAAGTAGGTAAATTTATAAAAGTGTAAGGAATTGTGGTTATTTTTTGTATGAATGAAAGGGTAGAATAATTTTTTTGTGTTCTGAATTTGTTTTGTATATACACTTATATTAACAGCTGTAAATATTGCCCCATCTGATTTATACGCTTATATACTTTCTGTGTATATTTATTTTATTTATACACTTACATACCTGCTGTATATATTGTTTCTATTCAACTGATGTATCTGTCAAATTATTATGTATGATATCATCACAGATAGTCAAGTTAATTAATATATTCACTATATTAATACCATTAATGGCATTCATAAAAAAGCATCAATTATCAGGGTGCGATGGATAAATTGTCGTCTAAATTATATAGAAATGAAAATAAACACTGACATCTCATTTTGACAGATATATTTACCAAAGTTATGCAAAAGCATCTTGAAATACTAAAGAGTAAATTTATTCAATAAAATTGCCATTGGCTTCAACCATGGCCTCCAGATGACTTCGGAATCTCCTGCATCTCTTCTGGACAATCTCCTTGTCTAAATTGGTAAATGCTGCCATAATCCTTGCCTTCAAATTATCTTTGGTATTACAAGGAGTTTTGTTGGTCTCATGCTCAACTGCACCCCACATATAATAATCAAGGAGGTTGCAGTGTGGGGAGTTAGGTGGCCAATTGTAAGGGGTGATGTGGTAGCAGAAATTGTCTGACAACCATAACTGGGTTCTCCTGTTTGTGTGGCATGGTGCAGAGTCCTGTTGCCAGATATAGGGTCTTCCAGCAGTCACTGTTTTGACCCAGAGCAGCACTACCTCCTCAAGGCTTTTGTTGTAGATCTTCATGTTAAGTTTGAAGCCCTCACAAAGAAATTTGGGAGTTCGTTTCTTATCAGAATGATCAGAGTGAATTTTTTGAGCTGCTGTATCTTTGTAATCACCATTAGACTCATTCAGCTCTTTCCGAATTCTCTGTATTGTTCTCAAATTGGCATTCAAACACACTGAAATGTTCATATTAGAGCTTCCAGCATGAATACCAAGCAGTATAGCATACCATTTCTAAATTTATGACGGAGTGAATTGCATCATGGTGCTCTTTTTCTCACAGAAAGTGCCCAACTGACCCTACTATACTGTGACTGTGTAGTTGATAAAATCAAAAACAAAATGCACGTGCATGAAATTAAAAATATAAAATGGTGACAATTTATGCATCACACTCTGTAATGAGACCTTTGTGGGTTTCAAATCTACAAACTCAACCCAATGTGGATGGAAAATATTTAAAATAAAATTCCAGAAATGAAAATTTAAATTTACCATGCACTTAATATTACTCCAGATTCCACATTGTAATGTATAGTCATATTCTGCTTCAGAGCAATTCCTCAGTTTTTCTGTCTTCATTTCTGGTATGAGGAATTATCATTAATTACATTATTTATATGCAAACTATTGTCTCCATCTTTGTTGTTGTTACCACAACCTTTGTACATATAAAGTTAAAAAAAGAAAACAAAACATTCTGTAATTTTGAAATGAGTCATTATCATTTGAAAAGTTGTCTGGACTTTTGATCTCAATGTTTCTATCACTTACACTGTTAATAAGTTTCATTAACACATTTTGTGGCTTTCTTCAATATGTGACTTTTCAAAACTACCAGGACCAGGGATTGAACTCACAATTGCCAGAGAACTAGGTATACTTTAACCAATGCGTTAATCCCCTAGATTATGCACCCAAGAAACACATATCTAGTTCAATAAAAGAAACTGACAAGTAACACAAAAGTGAATAAAACTGATATGAGTTATCTCCCCTAAACATGGAAAGCAAAATGAGAACTCTTGAGGTTCAGTTAAAAAATTCCAAAGTTACAAGTATGACACACATCTGAAGAAGGCCAGATGTTACAATGGCTGAAAGGTTGTGAGTATAACAAGAAAGATTAGTATGCTGGTTAGAATAGTAAGGCATAAACTCAGTTTTTCAAGATTTTAAAATTTTTTATCAATTTTAATGTAGCTCACATTTCAGTTTGTGATCTATCTACACAAATTGACCCCTGCATGCCAGAACCATTTTTATTCATGAATCTTTGATTTTTGACATTTTCATAGAAACCATATACAAAGTCCATGCTAGATCTTGGTTATCTGTCTAGAAAAATTTAAAGATTTTATAGGGATTAACTTTTCATTGAAGTAAGTACTTAAGGTTGTTAACCAATGTCAATAAAAAAAAAACTGTTATATTTTTAAGTTTATTTTATTGCCAAATTGTTGTTGGTGAATCTTAGTTTGTACAACTGAGTTGGACCAATTGCATATTTTTAATAGTAGTTTTATGTTCAGCATAGTTACAGGTGGCCAAATAGTTAATGGCTTGAATAATAAGCAAACTGAGTTCAAGCTCCAGCTGGGTCAGTTTGTATTCACTTTGCACTAATGCCCTTGGAAAAAGTATAACTCTACTTTTCTCTCATCTTTGAGTATATAACAAAGCAGTTAAAGCCATTTAAATGAGTCAAGACTATATTGGGCATTTAATAATAGGCCAAGTCAGGAATTATTCCTTGCTGCTGGTACAATCTAACCCAGTCTAACCTATTGTGTGTTACCTGGAGAGGAAACAGTCTAACTATTCATGAGAAGCAAACATACAATATATTCAAGTATTATATAAACAGCTAAATCTTATTTAATGTTTCCATCATTGTTTTATTTTTGTTTGATGTTAGTTAATTCTTTATAGCTAATTATATTGTATTTTAGATGCTTTTAGAATATATTGTATTATACTAAAACTTGTCAATGATACTTTATGAAGCCACATTTTCATACATTCAATTGTTGAGTTCATTACTAGTTCTTGGTAATGACTTAACCACAATATTATGGTTAACCAGCAATCTTCTACTTTGTAATTCCATGACATTCTGCAAGAATTTATAGAACATTTAATTTATATAGAAATTTTAAGCTACTTAGGAAATTCTGGACATTTTAGTAATACTGTTTTTATATACATTAGTGTTATAGTCTGCTGCAATTAGATCACCTTCTAATTCACTCAACATGTTAACTGGATGTGAACATTAGGAATGCAAAACCCAAAACAAAAAAGTCATTTTCTGTGCAGGGGCTCTTGAGCATCATATCCTATCCACAAAACAAATTCCCCCAATAAAAGATAATAGCCAATCATAACCATTCTTGCCAAAAATGGATGACCCTGGAGACCACAAGATTTGCTTAAAAGAAAACCCCTTATAACGAGTGACACATTTGTGAGACAAAAGATCACCTGTTGGCATGCATGTGTGCTGTTGCCATCACAGTCCTTCCCACTTCCCTTGTCACAACTAAACTCATCTCCAAGCTTCACTAATCTCATCCAACTCACCACATGCAGAACTGACAGGCAAGCTTTGACACTGTCAACCATTGTGATTTCTAACCTCAACATTCACTATTTGCTCCAGACCTCCCTCATTGTCACCTTGACACTGTCTTGTTGTTATCACTTTCAACCAGAATCCAACAGAGACATTCCACTCAATCAACCTTCATTCTCTACTCCTGTCTCTCTCATTGTCACCTCCATGACTCTGTTCAATGATATCTGATTTGACCAGAATCAAATAGAGACCTTCTACTTGATCAACATTCACTATTTATATCTAATCCCTTATCACCACTGCTGTAACCTCGACAACCAATGCACCTTACCATGAATCATTCCACCACCATGACTGATTGACCAACTTGACAACCCACTTTACCAAGTAGTTTAGCTTGAACATCTTATTACATGACTACCAACTCACAGGTGTCAATTTTACCCTTAAAGAAAGGTGGGATGTCAAGCTGCACCAATGGCTAATCCATTCTGGATATATACTCAAAAGTGTCACCTTGGCCAACCAAAGAAACTGGTAAACTCCTGGCCCTACTGATAAAACCATTACACCAAATTGCCTTCCTGACAACAGCAACTGAAGAACCACACATGGACAATTTTTGTCAAATTTCAAACAATTATGTATATATTCTGAATTTTGATGAATACACGCTGTTGAAAATTTAACCCTTATTTGTTCCTTTTCTTTGCAACAAAGGCTTGTTAAAACATAAGGATAATTGATAGTAAAATTAGAAAGAGAATGTTGTCAGCAGTTGTAGGGTAGTCACTCAACTGTCCACTAGAAACTCTATAATATGGTAATTTAGATAAATTTAAAAAAAAAATCTACATACCATTGACCCGCTTTGTAATCCAAAAACTGGTATTGATTGACAAAGAGATTTAGTGATTTCACTGTTGGAGTCATGTCCCATATTTCAGTCACAGTAGCAGGACAATCGACCTAGAGTTTAAAAGGAAAAATTGACCTAAAGTTTAAAAACATATTATGAGATATTTTATTTCAAAGTGTTAAATGGGTACTGTAAATGCTTAACAGTATTGAAAGATTTCACAATTTAAAAGAATTTACAGACTATTTTGTAGTACACACAGCAGTGGTTTACCATTGTTGTGTGCTGTTTGAATGTTAGCCATAGCTAAAGAGACCTATTTATTCTGTTATTGAAAAATATTTTTCACTGGTTAGTTGTTTAAGTACGATATTTTTTATCCAAATGTATGAAAAAAATATAATGGCTAAAAAATAAAATGTTGATATTTGGAGCTGGTGATGCAGTTTCAAACTGGGATACGGGTAACTACAGTCCTTAATGACCGATCCACTCCCTTGAAAATGTGTATTTCAACATTTTTTATTAACAAATACTTTAAAAGTTTTAATGGAAGAAACAAAAAAAAAAATGAATGTAGGTAGGAACAGTCAACAGGTTTGATAAAGCTTGTTCATTATTATTAGAATTGTGGGAAAATGAAATAAAATCAATTAATAAAATAATAGTATATTTTCTCATGATGCTAGTAGTAAAGGAACTAGAAATATGATTACCCAACTTGGCTTTGTCAAATGCTGTTAGGTAGCGTTGGTTAAGTTTATAAAAAGACAAACATTTTCTTGCCTCACTTGTTTGTTGATGAGAGAACACTCTTTTCACTTTCCAACGCATGGCATTCACATGTCTTCCAAAACCTTCATCTATAAAGTAAATCAACTTTTTCTTTGGTCGTTCCAACTCAGCACAAGTCTGACTTAAGCTCTACCATTATAAACATTACTGACACTCCACCGATGAACTAAGATCAGTTTTTCTTTGGTTGTTCCAACTCGGTGCAAGACTGACTTGAGCTCGACCATTATAATGACACTTATCCTTAAACTAACTTCTGGAGCAAGGAAAAGAAAATGGACATACCATAACCATGTTTAAACCTTCCAATGATAAAGTAAGTATAAATTTTTTTGGGTTGTTCTAATTCTGTGCAAGGCTAACTTGAGCTCAACCATTTACATAATGCTTATAGTTGAGTGTCATATGTGACACACACTTGGGTGATCATGTCTCTTTAGATTTATGAGTGATTAGGCAGAAGATTTTCTCACAGTAGGTTGCCATTTCTTTTTGTAGTAGACTGGTTGCTAACCAAGGCTATAGAACCCAATTTGTCCAGCTATTCACTCATAGCTGGGGGAATAAGAGATGGATTTATATCTTTCTCAATATCTATATGCACATAAGTGAATGTAATGAACCCAACTGGAATTCAAACTTGGCTCTCCGATTTCTCATTCCATGTTGATATCCATTAAACCACAGTACACATCCTTATACTTACTTACCCTAACTGCTGGATAAGAGACCCAGATTTAGTTGTGTGTGGTGCTGTAAGCAACATGAATTATACCCTCTTATACAATTGGCTTTTGAGTGAGGACATTCCACTTACAGTAGGTGGTGCTAACAATTTGCATATGAACGATAATGGACAGGTATTAACCAATAGTCAGCGTGGGTCTGAGACTGGGAGAGCTATATAACACCAATCTTTTTTCTCAGTCTAGAGGGACGCTCTCAATGTGTGGATGAAAAGTGGCTTCCTTAAAAAGAGAATAAAAGCTCAGAGAATATGAGAATCTTTATTTTCAGGTGGAATGATCTCAAAAGACATGTCTACCAGGTCACTTTGTAACTTGACAGATAATCTGATTTGCTTAAATTCTCCAAACCTTTAGGTAGCACTACAAATATATATAATATATATCTAATATAAACAAAGTGTATATTCTTACAATAGTCCGTCTTTCACTTGGGTTGCTTTTACTTGAAGACTCTGAATGGAAACTGGTCAGCATTGTTAATTACCTGCAAATGAAATAGATAATAATCATTAATTAAACACTCATATACAAGGAAGTGCAGAAAAATGTTTTAATCAAACACACTTCTCAAATGAACTTTCTTGGTTTGGACAGATTTTCAGTAATCCCTTAGATAGATAGATAGATAGATAGATAGATATGAACATACCTTGACAGATAGATATGAACAGACTGAGACAGACAGATAGATAGATATGAACATAGATAGATAGATATGAACAGAGATAGATAGATATGAGTAAAGACAGATATATATATATATATATATATATATATAAACAGACTCAGACAGATAGATAGATGAGCTGACCAAGATAGATAGATATGAACAGACCAAGAGAGATAGATATAACTGGACAGAGATATATAGATATGAACAGACCCAGACAGATAGAAAGATAGATAGATATGAACAAACAGATTGATACATAGAGATAGATATGAACAGACCAAGAAAGATAGACATATGAACAGACCGAGGCAGATAGATATATAGATATGAACAGACTGAGATATATAGATATGAACAGACTGAGATATATTGAATGATTCTCTTGAATCAATTGCTAGGTCTGCTGCTAGGAAAGTTGGTTCACTGTCATGCGAGAATTTTTCTCACCAGAATATATCTTGCATATCTATAAATTAACCATTCAACCATGCATTGAATACTTCTACCACATATGATCTGGTGCTCCTTTTATATATCTCAAGATTTTTGGCAAAAGCCAAACAAGGGTCTGTAATGTTACTTGTCTTGACCTGGTATCAGTCACTTTTCCACTGCTGTAATGTTGTTTCATTGTCCCTTTTCTGTAATTATATTATGGCAATTGTTCTGATGAGCTTTCCTCCTTGGTACCTTGACCACATGAATTAAAGCATACGACTAGATTGGCAACCAGGTCTCGTTTTATTGTTGAAATAGCTAGATGAAACTCTATTCTAATAGTTTTTTTTAGTTCTATTCTAATAGTTTATTCTTCTTCAGTGGTACTTCCATACATAAAATATGCAATCAATTTATCAAGTATTATGCTACTGAAAAAGAAAAGATTTTTTTCCAGAAAAAAAAAAAACAAATAAAAACAAAACAAAAAATTCATTGTTCATTGAAAAATATTGTTTTTCTTGAGACAATAGTGTCCTTGATATATCTTATTTATAAAAGCAGTTAAAAGCTTTTCTAATTAAATAATGTCTTTTTTAATATTGCTTTTTTTTATTTTACAATTCAGAGCAGTTTTGGGGTAAATGGAGTTTCTGTTTTAAACAAAAATTGTTGATTTAAATTTTTCCAAGCAATTCTGCTTTTAACTAATATAAATATTAAGGGGGTGAAATTTAATTTCTCAAAATTTCAGAAAAATTCATCAGAGATAACACATGTAAAAAATATAAATACCATTACCAGATTTTCTAAAAATAAAAAACATCTAAAATAATTTCCTTCATTTGTGAATAAATCCTGAAACTTTCATTAAAATCTGACAATTGTTTGATTTTTGCAAGAATTTCCAAATCAATGTGTTTTTACGGCAAAAAGATGCTAAAATTCCTCATACTAATCTTTCGTATCCCTCTGCCCACAGACACAAGAAAAAAAACAAGATTTTTAACCAAGATTTTGAATGTGTTAGAAAGGATTAAAAAATTTAATAAAATAATCAAAAAATACTTTTGTCTTTCCTCTTTATAATAACAAAGATTTTGACAATAAAACTTTTAAGTTTGGGGCAATTTTCATCATGATATGCTCTTTTTTTAAGTGAATTAGTGGAGGTATCTAGTTAAAAGGTACTGTAGCAATTCTTGAAATCTGACAATGTAATTCGTTTCTTAGTATTTCCAAGAAACTTTACTACAAGGAATGTTTCACTTTACAATTATGAATCCTTTTAACTTAATTTGTATTCATCAAGAAATGAATTTCTTTGAAACAAGTAGATAACCACTCATAGCTGTTTTGTTAAGACTGTACTCATTTTTTCAACTCCCAGATTTGGTCTGTTTGCTTAAATTAGTGGCTTCAGGAATGTATTTTGTTTGAATTTTTTTTCTCTTTGGGTATATACATTTTGGATCTCTGAAGAATTAGTTCTTCATCCTTTTGTTGCTGCAACTCCATTTAAACAATGACATTCAAAGGATATATAATAAGGAAAGAAACTCTGGAGAATTTAACACTTAAAGACATAAAGTAAAAGAAGCAGAAGAAAATATGGAGTAGCCTGCTTGAAAAGTTTGTTAAATGGATGAGGGAAATATTACTCCAAATAAAAGAGAGGGGAGTTGTGAAGGTGAATGTATTGTGTAGAGCAACTAAAGATAGGAAGCTGTGAAGAATCATGATTGTCCACAGCACACAGAAAGAGAGGAAAAAGCACATAGGTGAGGTAACGTGTAGAAGGTAAGATTCCTTCCCTGATCCTTGGTAGAAAAATAAAAACAAAAGAATATTAAAATCAGTGAAAATGTTAGACAATTCTTTGGATCATTTTTCACATAAAGTTGTAGTTAACATTACATGAGCTGCTATATACATGTCAAAATTGCAATCAATCTTTTTTTTAAACTAAGTTTTAAAATAAACAGTCTTGACAATAAACTTTTCAGAAAGAATATGTAATCACCTTTTAAATACATAGCTTTAAAGTTAAAGAGACACAATAAAAGATTAACCAACACAAAAAAATAAATTTTATGTTCTCTTATATATATTATATATATTATGCCTCTTGATTCCTTGGGGAACATAGGGCCACAACAACACCTCTCCAACGGAAGCTGTTCTGGGCAATCCTCTTCAGCTTGTCCATCCCATGCTGGCTGCCTTCACCTCTGCAACAACAATTCTGCACCAAGTCTGTTTTAGTTGACCCACTTTTTGCTTCTCTTGTGAATTCCAGTCAAGGGCCTGCCTGGTAAGACTAGACCGTTTTTTGTTGACAATCTCGATTGGGGCTTGTCTGGTTCTGTCCCACAGTTGGTTGGTGAAGATAACTTCCAGCCACCTAATATTGAGGATGTTCATGAGACATCGGTTGGTAAATATCTGAAGTTTGTAGGTGTTGGTCTTGGGTTACTTGCCAGGTCTCTGAGCCGTAAAGTAGGACTGACTTGATGTTGGCATTGAAGATCTGGATCTTGTTGCAAAGTGAGAGGGCTGTTGATCTTCAGATTGGCCGTAGAGCGTTGAAAGCATGTTGGACTTTGTTGATTTGGCATTTGATGTCTTCATCTGTCCCCCCATTTTTACTGATGATGTTTCCCAGATAGACAAACTTATTGACTTCCTTAATATCTTCTTGGTGTAGTCAAACTGGGTCTTGTTGTCTGTTTACCCTCATGACCTTCATCTTTCCGATGTTGATTTGGAGGCCAGTCTTCTCTGCTTCTTCTGCAACATGACTCAGCTTCTCCTGTATATTGTTGTTTGTCAGAGAGAGGGCTGATGTCATTTGTGAAGTCCAGATCTTCCAGATGCTTCATGAAACCAGTTCTCCTGCCTGCCATGGCCTGCCACATTATCCAGTTGACCACCAATAGGAAGATTGTCAGTGACAGCAGGCATCTCTGACAAATGCCAGTTTGTACTGAGAATGGTTGAGTCAGCTTGTTGTTGGATGATGGTGACGAACTTTGCTGGAAAGCCATAGTGCTGCATTAGTCTCCAGATAACATCTCTGTTGAAACTATCAAAAGATTTCTGAAAGTTGAAGAAGACTGAGTACACAGAGGTCTGCTATTCCAGGAATTCTTCGGTGATGATGCGCATTGTGGTGATGTGGTCTGTGCATGATCTATCTTGCTGAAAGTCTGCCTTTTCTTCCTGAAGTGTCTTGTCCAATGCCATCTTTAGTCTCTCAAGGATGATTTTTTCTCAGTACAGAAAGAAAGACAGAACCAGATCAACCACATCACTATCAGCTGAAAATGGAGAAGAAGCTTGCATGACGCCAAGGTGAAGCAGGGAGCAGACACAGCATCAGACCACCACCTCATTGTTGCTGTCCTCAAGACCAAGCTGAGAGCCTACAATGACCGGGCTAGAAGACCATTGCACAAATTCAATGTCAGCAGCCTAAGAGAGAAAAAGAAAGAGAGGGGGAAAGCAGAAGAATTCAAGCTGGAACTGAGGAACAAGAACTGTGGGTGACAACTGGTCTGAGAGAAGGACAACTTTGAATTCAAAGCTTCCTCCTGTGAGTTAAATAGCCTCACCAACCTGCAATTGGTCAAGTGTGGTGAGTATGGCTAAGCCCCTAAAGACATGGTCAATTAGGGAGGGATTCCTCCAAAAGGAAGGAGAAGACATTAGATTTGGATGGATGGATGTTGGATTTAACGGCATGTCAACTCCTATTTGGTTAGATTTGGATTGTTATAATTCAGATTATTAAATCACTATGTCATCCATGCATTTTCTGAATAAAATTTTATTGCTGGATTTTGGAATTTAAAACATTCAAATTTTGGATAAGCCGATTAACACATCCTTTGAATGATTCATTGACAAAGTTGGATTTTTAATTGTCCCAGGTAAACTAACTATTTTTAAAACTTTATTTTGTCTTGTCACTGAAATTGTAGCGGTATTGACAGCCTAAATCAACCTATACATTTCTTTACTTTGCAAATGTGTAAGCAAACGAAATGCAAACAAGAGAAACAACACAAAAACTGTTTTTACAATAACAAACAATATTTATATTTATGTATGTCAATGATATACAAGCATAGGGGTTACTTCCCTTTGACTGGAATTTTTTAGAGTCCTTAATGAAGGAAATATTTTTATCTGTGCTCATAGAAAGTTGAATGAACTTGCTGCTCAAAATGTTCACCATGAAAGACTACATCTTGTATGCCAGAGAAGGCAAGAGAGGCCAAAAGAGAAAGAGAGAACTTGTGTTGAAGTATCTATAATAAACATAGTCATGTGATAGGCTTTGGGAGGCATATACAGATTTTGGTGGAATTGTATTTTTGTTCAGCTCAGGAACTGGGTCGATGTTATTCAGACGTGGTTGAGAACATAATTTAAATATTAACTGACCAATGAGAAGTGAGAAAAATATCAAGGCTGTGATCCACTTTTTGCACAGATTTGCACAAAAATTAACATTGAAAGAAAGTGGTAGCAGAATGCTAAAAAGATTTAACCTTTATAGCAAGGCAATCCTAAGGGAACTAGAAGTCCTACTGGGATTTATTATTGGTGGGTACAATCTTAACAACATAAAATATGCAGAAGACATAATATCAGTGGTAGGCTAAGCTAGAAAACTGCAGGAAATCATAGACAAAGTTGTAAAGGAAATCTAGAAGAAAGGTCTAACAATCAATTGTAAGAAGACAGAATATGTAATTGTTATCAGGAGGAACAGCACATGATGTGAACTATGAATTGAAGATATTAAAATCAGCAAGTACAGAAATTTATCTAGGAAGTGTCTTAGCAAATGTGACATCAAAATCCAAAGGCTCATTGGAATAGCAAAATG